CCCCCCCAGAACCTTCAGTTTGTTTCTCAGAGTCCATAGACTCTCATGGTTCATCTCCCCCTCCAATTTCGCCCCCATATTTCTTAAATTTATATATGCTTGCATATCCTCTTTATGTAGTAGTATTCAGATTCTACTATGCTTACTATATTATGCTTGTAATTTCCACATATACCCCAACTGGAAAAGACAGACCTAGAAATGAAAACTAAAAACCCATTTGATAAGAACTATGACCCAATTATGCAACAGCAAACTCTAAATTATATATTTTCAATAAGAATAATAATAAAAGCTGATCTCTTCAATCATTCTGCTCATGAAATACATTTTTAATAGAAATTATTGATAAGAGCCTTTCCAAAGAAATGCAAATTGTTGGTGCCAATGTTATCTGAAAACCACACATTGGCATATCTTTTACACTAATCTCATATCTTTGGAATTATGTTGCTACTAAGATTAGAATCTGCTGTTTTACCTTGTTTCTCCTTAAAAACATTGCTAATGTTCCCTAAATCAATTACCGGATTGAAAAAAGTATATTCTATTTGTTAACAAAAGTTCAGCCATTTGACATATTTACCTTCCACAACTGTGCAGTGAACTGTGAACATACACAATTTAAAATGTCAAATGAGTTTGTGAGCTAATAAGAGTCTTAAAGTAACTAAATATTCTTAAACCATGACATAATTAATTCTTCCCTATCAACATGCCCATTAAACTAATTTCAGACACAGTAAACAGGACACTAGAATACTTAGCAAGTTCAATTGCAAAACTGACAGCTTATTCTTTAAAGGATGTAACCATACCCTGACCCCCAATGTTATTAAAATTCCAGTTATTAATCCTGTCTTATTGCCCTTTTGTTTTCATAACATTTTCATCAAGGATTAGGGAGATACTGTCAGGCTGGAAAAGCTCACATTTCCTGCTGTGATTCCCAACAGCTGCCTTTCTTATTTGGATAACCCTTCATTCATATTCTTTTCCTTGCTCCACATTCCCCATGGCAAAATCACGCAAGTCCTCGCCATTTTATCAATGCCCTTAGGGAAATTAATGCCACAATCTATTCCTGCTAGCTACTTATTTATTTTCACCAATACAGTGCTTCAGAAGGCCCCAAACAGATCTATTCCCATGGCCACCCTCACAATCCTCATCACGGTGGAGATTCAATGGCTTTTGTCCCAAAGTTGAATACTGCCAATATCTAATCCTTACTTTCCCTGTTGTTGCTTTCACTCTGAGAGACACAAACTGCAGCAGTGAATGGAGCAGCATCTGCGGATTTCAAATGGGATTTTACTTTATATTATAGTTTCCCCTTCTATGTTGAGCCAAAAACCTCATTCACAGATATGCTATTATCATGCAGGCTGGAGTGTAGCTCTTTTTTAAATCCTGTGGTTTCAGTAAGAATTTTTTTAAAAAAGAAAGAAAGACAAGACAGAGACAGAGACAGACTTTTCAAGGATCCAGATTAACAGGTGAGACTATTCCAAGAGATCTGCAGAATTCCCAGGTACAGTGCTAGATGTTTGTGTGGTTTTGTAAGGAGCTGGGGAGGAGGGTTGGGGAGAGGGCGACTTTGCTAAGATCACCACTAAAATGTTAACACAAATCAGTGACGGGCCTCCAGACTCCTCTGGTCTAATACCAATTTTTGACACAAGTCTGGGTAAGAGTAGAAAAGAGAAACGGGTAGGTGGTGAAGGAACAGTGCTGTAACATTTAAATACCATTTTGTTGATGTATTCATGGAACACCCCCAGAGAAAGGGCAATAAGAAAATTCTGGTATAATGCTTCACGTGGCTTATGTTAATTATCACTACAACCTCACAAGGTCATCTCTGGGAGGGACTTGCCTTTTGGCTTATGGATGTGCATAATTACAAGGCATGCAAATTAAGGCACACATCCACACCCATGGACCACGCATTGGCTCAATAATATCAAATGCTTTCTTCTGTTTTGGAAGATTCTGGAGAAAGAAACAGCATTAGGCTGCCTCAAAAGTCACAATGTTAGAAGCAAGCGGGAAGCACTTAAAATGGCAGGGTTACAGCACTCTAAAAAAAAAACCAAGCAAACCTTTAAAAAGCCTCCTCCCACTCCCAGAGCATAGCACCTATTAATTTGACCAAAGTCATCTAATTGTTACAAACTTTCAGTCACCTCAGAGATTTGCTTAGAACTGATTTAATAAAAAGAACAATTCATCAAATTAAAACAGATCTAAAATAACCAACAGCGGAACTTCACAAATGAGTAGGTCTTTTTTGGTGAGTGGTAGTTCTGTTGTAGACTTGGCTGAGTTAATAAGTACAGCCCTGGACACGCTAAAACAACAGGGCAAGTTTATGGGGTGGAGGGGAATCTTTTATTAAAAGAGTGATAATTAAGAGTATTAAGACCATGAAAACAGAACACGGCCATAAAACAAAACTGATTAACTGTGCTTAATGATAGACCATTTCAGCATAAAATGAAGGTGATTGCAATTAAGTAATGGTTCCCAAGCCTGGAGTGCGATCTTACCAGTCTGCTGAATCACTGATTGCAGACTTTGCCCATGTGCCAGCATCCGTTGTCACGAAGCCCACATCATCGTGGGAGCTGGAAGATGACTGGTCAGAGAGATGTGGAGGGAGCACCGGCAGCCTGTCATCTTCTATAATGACAGTGTCATCTTGGGGCATGTTCACCGTGGGGGAGAGCTGGTATTTACCTGGCCGGTGGGAAAAAAAGGAAGAGAAATTCTAGATATCGATCTAAGGGCTATGCGTACAAATGGCAATACATTACAACATTAGAAAAAGTCTAAATTTCCAAACATCTGCTCAACCTGGTGGAACAAAATAGAATGAAGGAAATTTATTTTTTCACAAATAAATGGCCAGTGGAGGCCTCGAGTCTGTTCCCTTCTCTGACTCGACGGCTCTGTAGCTCTCAGCACAGTGTTCAATTTCACTGGATTCAGGTTTCCTAAAGCCACAGATGATCTCCTGAACATCTTATAAAGTGAAAATGCTACACAGATTCTAAGTTGTGAAAGTCCTTTGGAAAATTTTACCAGGAAATTTATAGGGAAGCCCTGCAGACTTACATCAATCATTCACATACTCATTTGCTGGGCATATACCGCATAGCAAGGATGTAAGAAAGACTTAAATCTCTGCCCCCAAACAGCTCACACCCTAGAGAAACAGAGAGACATACAAACACTGATAATTGACTGATGGTGTGAAGGACATGCTAAAAAGACTGTGGCCTTCACCTGGGTGGCTGGAGACAGAGGACACCAGGGATCCTCACCAAAGTTAACCTCATAGTTGGGCTTTGAATGATGAATATGATCTTTTCTGCTAGGAGAAATGATGACATTGGTTTTACACAATGGCAACAACATCATTAAATTCATGATGGAGAAACGCTCCCAGTACATTCAGGTGACACTTCAAAGATGAGTACATGCAGAATCGAGGCCTCATGGGGAGATGGCAGGAGTGATCTTAAAAAGATAGGATCTAACTGCCCAGAGATTTTCAGGCTAAGACAGTGGGGTCTGCACATTTTTATTTATTCAATTCAGATATAATGTTCTTGGTAAGGAAAGACTCACAACTGTCTATACTGACGAGTTTCTTTTGGGGAAATCTGCTCAGGTGCATGGATCAGCATGACAGACGTTTATATTTCTTGGGACAAAATTACGATTTAAGCCCTGAACCCTTAAAGATAAAGCTGCGGTCCAAATGATGCCATCTTCCTCCCGAAAACATCCATACTTCTTCTGGCTTCCTCCTCAAATCTTGTGCTATACTTCTGAGTAAGACCTCACTGGACAAGGCTTTGGTCCAAGTGGATACATCAAGAGAGTCCATACTCACAGAAACACACATCAGGGTATGATGGAGGCCCACTGCTGGCTCTCCCAACAGAGCAAGAATTGACAATTTCCCCATCACCTTACAGTGGGATGGGAGAAGTCTCATTTTAAGTCCAACATTCAAATCTGGTAAGCCAGCTCTACTGGCTCCAACCCAAATAAAACGGATCGCTGTCCTTTCCCCATACTAGCACCATTTTACACTTTACGCAGGGTGCTCTTTCCCTTTATTATAAACCACTTTTTAAAATAGCACCACAGCAACATGTGGAGAGATTTTAACATTTTAACATCAGGCTTAAGATCTAATTTTTAAAATAAACATTCATAAGAATGTGCAAATGATGACTTTTTGTTTTAACATGATTTTGGCAATTATGGGATGGCATATATAGGCTTGAAGGATTTTTAAAATACATATTATTCTGGACACTCAACAAAGGGACAAAAATTAAGTTGATCCGTATCTTTTCAGGACAACCCACAAAAGAAGACATGCTAGACGTTTCAAATGCGTTGATTATTTAGCACCAACTACTTTATTATAGAAATACTGTATGTTCACTGAAACATTAACACAGATTTTATCAAGAAAAACACTCTATTTTGATTTGAAATGCATTCATTTTGACAAACTGTGAAAACTAGCAACTTTTTATAAATGCTCATGATTATAAAGCAAATCAAATTTAACTTAATTGTTTCCCTCTCCTGAATTCAAATTATTTATTTACTACTACTTGAGTTTTAGGACTTCAGTAGAGAAAGACAGAAATCTAAAAAATTACCATTCATAAATAAGGTTGGACATCCTAGCACTATCACCAAAAGAAGTATTTCCTTCTCAAGACATACTTTTTTGCCCAAAAAGTGTACAGAATGACAAAACCAGAGTTATCCCTGACAGCTCACCACTGACAAGGCACGTGTCATAGCATTAAATGCCAAGTCCTCACAAAGGCAAAATTTACTGGAAGGAAAAATTACAATATAATTATAGTGTACTCGCTTTTAAACACAAAAACTAAAACTCTTGGGTTTACACAATATATTCTGAGAGACAGCCTAATAAGCAATATGGAACACTGAATGGTTCTTCATATGACAATCCTTTTTTTATAATATGCTGTGTTGAATAGAAATATTGTACCTTAAGTGATCCAAAATTTTATACATAAATGGTAAGAAATTTTCCTAATAATAAGAAAACAATTTAGCTTTTTCCTCTCACAAATGATTCTAGGGGCTAATATTTCAAAAGATTTGAGAATTCACGTTTTTCATCAGCTTCCCAACTTCTTGACATACTCGCCAAGAATTACAGTTTTCGAATCTGGATGCAGGAATATATTGGGAACAATGGACAACTAAATTATCTCACTCCATGTTCTACCAAACTCCACCTAGACAATACCTCTTAATGATAACCTGGTACATCACAAACGTGAAACCTTCAAGGGTGACCTGAGAAGCCTCTGATTGGTTTTTTGATGGATAAATATTTCTCCTTCTTCAACTAGTTAACCGACAAACTACAAACTAAAATTTAAACCAGTCAGTATCTTACAGAAGAGTGAAACAATGAGATACGAAATGATTGTTTACTAAACATTTATTCATTGGTACATTTACATAAAAGGCAATACCATTCATGACACTAGAAACAGATGAAAACTTTTCCAGTGATTTGACTCACAATAAAAATGACATTAATGTTCCATTTCTCAATGTTGAATTTCTAACAAGATAAAAATATGCTGAGCATAATTATTTTTTAAACTCACCACAAATGTATGAATATAAAAACTACTGAGGTTAATCTCTAAAACAAATACACCAGATTTTGGTCTTGCTTTAAACAGAAAATTTCTTCAGATTAAAATTTGGAAAAAAAAAATTAAGGTTTCATGTTCCCAAATGTCAACTTGTGATGTATTTTAGTGAACGTGTTGGTTAAATTAACCATGCCTATTATTGTTTTATGATTATTATAGTTAAGACAGTCCAGCAATTTAGGAGATTTTTTTTTAAGTCTTTTAACATGAAGCATCCTAGGTAGGCTCTCTAGAGATTTCTTTTTGATGAATATCCAGGATTAAAATCCATGATTAGTGGCAGGTAGACCCATACAGAAGACATCTGGAGAAATCTTGTCTCGGTCACAACTCTGGATGACCCGACCAAAAACTAGGGAGATCGATCCAGGTTGAAGTAATGTGGGACTCATGACTCGGGAAAATACACATCCTAACTGGTCGAGGAACACAGAATGTGGCTTCCGGACTTGTCACTGGAATTTCTCTGCTCCCTAATTTCTCTGAACAGAAGATAATTCAGCTGGAGTAGATGATTTCTAAGACTGTTTTCAGAGATGAGCTTTTTTGATTTTTAGAACACAGTGGCCGCCACAACGGAACAAATTCTGTTGACTGTCTAATGCCTTTTGCTTAAAGATATGGATAAACTGATCTTAATAAAGAATGGACGTCACTAATCCTTATTGTGTGGTCTCACTATGCCCTAGAGAGGGCTACTTTTAGAAACAAGAAATATCCAAAAACAACATAAAACAAAAAATCACCATGGGATCTTGTGACAATGTTCCTTTATCTGTCAAGTGGGAGAGTGCGGCTAATGACCCCTGACATCCTGCAAGTCTTACATCTCTTCCTTTTTTGATTTATTTTTTTAGAAGCTTCTCTCCTGAGATATGTTCCCATAGAAATGAGCTAGAAAGCCTCAAAGCTCCTTTTGGTCTAGAGTCTCACATGAGGGTTTTTCTAGGTGAAAATTCATCCTGTTTGCATACAACTAGTCATTTCTTAAAGTAATCAACTGTAATTTCAATACAAAGCTCTATTTGAATCAGAGCAGATCATAAAGTAAATACCATCACCTCCACTAGTGTCTACATAAGGGTTATTCTAAATAAATAGAAGACAATCAGCAACCAAACAAGATCTACCTGAGAGATTTCAATGTACCTAGATACTGTGCAAATCAATAAATACTAGTGCTACTGATTTAGGTTAACAGAAATTCAGTGCTCTACTATCTTATATTTGGTACCCTGTATTTTGTTTTAAGCTAACATCCTTTGCAGAATTTCTAACTTTAAGTGGGAACTGACCCTAGCAAACCATTTGTTTCTTAGGGCCACTGATAATGGAATACAGACTGATGAAGACTGAGTTCTCAAATTTGTAAAACTCAAGACAGATCAGGTTCAGCATATGCAATTCTCAGGGTAAAACTATAAGGGATCCCTAGTTTCCAGTAGAATATGTAAAAAACTATGTTAAGAAAATACCCAAATCGTTCAACATTAACTTGGCCTACCAAAAAAGGGTAAAGAGTCTTTCACCCCCAACCCAAAAGGGCATGCACAGTACATCACAAAGCACACAGCTGGGAGGGAAGCTGCTGCCCAGGGGAAAGCATCTGGAGCCTTAAAAGTCCATTACATCTCTAGAGGAGGGAAGGGAAAACAACAGTAATGCAAATGGAAGTGGACTAACGAAGCCACAGCTAACAAAATCAGGGTAACAGACTATGAAGAAAATGAAGGAGTCCTCAACCCATTATATACAGCACTTCAAAAGGTCACTAGGTGAATTTTGGGGTTTTTTGGTTTTTTAGTTTTAGTTTTTCAGCCTTCCTCTGAAGCATCAGGGATTGGAGGCAGGACGCAGGTTACAGGAACTGGTGGACCAATGGTCTGATTCAGTATGGCAAGTCCTATGTTCCTATAATAAAGGGGAAATTACAGCATATCACTTTGTATGCACACAGATCCAGGGACACATGCACGCTCTTTCTCTCTCAAGGGGTCTGAATTTTCATTAATGAAAAAAGTATTTAACAAAGATAAAGTTTTACACCAAAACCAAGAAAGTATGGAAAATACAACGGCAGTGAAGAGAATGATCATTAAGAAGCAAAGATTAGTGTGGTGATCTCTGTGCACTGTGTGGCATCTGACAGGTGCACAGTGGTTTTAGCATCCTTCCCCTACTTCCATTTATGCCAAGCAGGCAAAAAAGAAAACCACTGACAAAGTAAAACCAGAAGGCTGGCAGGTCTAAGTCCTATGTGCAACAAAATAAGGAATTGAGAATTTAGCAACTTCTCCGAACTAGAAAGCTAGAAGGACCAAAGGAAGACCAGAAAATTCTACTAGTCATGTTTATGTGTTTTTCCTGTCATGCCCAGGAGAGAGTTCTTTGTAGGCAGAGATTGTGTCTCACTCATTTTTGTATCTACAGCAAAAGTGTGTACACAAACGTCTTGTCAATAGTAGGCTTTCCATAAATGTCCACTGGCGAATGAAATAAATTCTTGTTCCAAAGAAGCTTCATAATGGAAACTTGAATTGTATTAAATCTTCATTAAAGGTTTCAAAATGGCGTTAAATTTAGGGTTTTATTTTCGAGCCTTGCAAAACACACCAGCAATAAAACTGTCTTATGTCAGGTGCTATTTTAATCGAAACAGCTGCTTATGTTTTAAATTTGAAAACTCTCGCAAGTTAATCCCAAGATGAGCAACTCAGTAAATCCACCCACTCCTGTGGCAAAGCAAGTCTTTATTAACTGGATCTGTTAGGAGAAAGCTGCACTTCTGCCGAGCAAGTGCTAATAACCTCAGTACCCACTGGGGGCTGAGCAGACAGCATGGTGCCGAATCCAAACAAAGGATGCAAAACACTAGCTTCCAGACTTTAAAATCAGGGCTTTGAAAAAGTAGAGATGCAACTTAAAAACGGTAACATTCTATTAAATACAAGCCAAATAAATGTGAATACTTCATCTACATACGAACATGTACAGCTGCATCTGTTCCTCTCCCTGTAAAAAAGGTGCTGCCGTGAAAGATACGTGACTTTGAATTCTCCTCATCATAAACCACTAAATTCTGACTTTCCTAAAACATGGCTTCACTTCTACTCTCAAACAAGCTAAATATATCTTGATCGCTGAACATATTTCCATGTGACCCCTTCCTTTTCTACCCCCCCCAACATGTTATAGGATCTAAAATTCACTTAACAAAATCAATGTATTGATTCAGTCTCTTCACTATTAACACTTCCTGGATGATTGTAATGAACCTGCTCTTTTTCCTCTTAAAAATACAGGCCTCCCTTACATTAATATTACATTAATAACCTCCCAGTGAACCGGGAAAGCATAAAAATAAGATGTGATAAACAGAGTTTTACCTGACTCACCCATTATCCTGCTGAGGGCAGCATTTCTCGTGGGGGATTCATCAAGCCCCTCAATCCCACTGTAGAGGGAATGGGAGATTCTTCGTTCTCGATCATCCAATACTGTTTCAATGGGCAGCTCAGGTCCAGAGGGGCTCCCAGGTGACTTCAGCTACAGAGAAAAGGGGGCAAGGGAAAATCAGTACTGGAGGCCCATTAGCAGCATGGGGGAATTATAACAACTTGTCCAAGGCCTGCATCCAACTGGGTACCAAATGAACTAGAACTTTTCACCCTGTACCAAAATAATTTGTGATGACAGCTCTGCCTAATGACCAACTTTCTCTGCCACTTTACACTGTGCCTCCCATGAAGTTCTGTCAGATTGCAACCATTGGAGGAAAAATATGTATATTAAAAGCTTTTTTTTTAAACTTATTTTGCTGCTTATTTTTTCAATTTGACTGTTAGTATCTGTTGAAGTCAATTTAAGTTATGCTTTAATTCAGAATTCTTTATGAGATGTTGCTCTGCACAAAGTGTGCTTTATCAGAATGGAAGCTGGAACTAAGCTATACTTTTTATATCTATAATAGGTAAATACACCTAACAATTAGCACTCATCTCCATGTGTGCTGGTAGAATTACTACCTACTCTAAAAGATCTTTACTTGTGAGCTCAGGTGTCTCGAACAATTCACTGAGCCTACATTTCTTCTGCTAGAAATTAGTTAAGAAATCATTCTATTCTCTTACTATAATCTTAAATAGAAGATAGGGAGTACCTGAAAAAAACCACTTTAATAGTATATAAACAATACAGAAGTAGGGACCAAATATTCTAATGAAGCAAAGATGTATATGTCACAAACATATATGATCTAATAAATAAGCAAAGAATACAGGTCAATTTCCATCACCATGAATTAAAACAGTATGTGGCATTCTTTCAAACAGCTGTGCCTCATAAGTCAGATTCTGCACAAAAATAATATGAATAAGGAACCTATGTTCATAAGGCCTTGAAACAAATCTGCTTCAAGGAGGGAACAAAGCACACTTAACAGCAATCCTCCAAACGTGGGCTCTGAGGTTAACCCCATGGACTAATATCTTATGACGCTCTGGTGCTGGCTTGCAGCCAGAGACAAAGAGGGCTTGGGGGGAGGTGGGGAGAGGGGTGCAGCACAGCACCACCAAGTGAGAGAGAGGACCACACATCCCAAACAGAGGAAACCACAACGGTTGCAGTTCCTTCATCAGAACAAATTATTATTTCTGTTAGAAGCTATCATCTGTTTAATATAAATGAGATATTTAATGAAGTTCCAAACTGTAGACTTATCTCTCCCAGTTTGATAAGCACTGGGGAGATTTAATGCATTGAAGGGTCAACACAATTACAATTGGAGGCACGTCAAACTGCAGGAGAATAATAAACTCGCAGCGCTAGTGAATTAGACTCAATAAGGTTTAAATTGTGAAATGAGGATTTGTTTTATTAGTTTTTTTTTTTAACTGCTGACAGCTTCACAGAAAAGTAAATTAAATACTCAAGGTCTCTGATGTAAAAAAATAAAAACATTTTCTGAAAGAATACTATGCCTCAATTCCAAAGTACTTTGGGAGGTAAAAACAAAAACAAACTAAAGCAATACCCTATGCCTTTAAGAACAAGTATGTCTGAAAATTTTAAATGAGCACATACACTGAAGAGACTTGTGATCCAAATCTCTATATGAGACCTGCTTGCTGTACAATTTATTTTATAAGACAAACAACGTATCCTCACATTTGCTTAACAGATACATTTAATTGAACTAGATAACTGAAATTTTCTAGATGATAAAATCCTTACAAAGCTATTCATGAGAAATCCCTAAATAATCTAAAAGGCTATTTTAGAATTTTAGAAAATCAAATAAAAATTCCATTTAAAAAAAACAATGCAGGCTTTCTAGAGAAAAAAAAAAAAACAGTAAGGTGCCTGTTCAGAAAGAACCTCACAATTGAACATTTTCATGGGAAAGAGTCTACACCTCCTCTACCTCCCTAACCATGTCTAATTTACATCTCAAAAGACAGATTTAAATGAAGACATCAGCAGCCTACTACATAAATATTTAACAGAAGACACAATGCCTTTTAATTTCTTTAAAAAAAAAAAACCTGATGGGGTACACAGTTTTGTTTTAAATCTTTTGATGATTTTTTTGTTGTCGTTGCAAGAAAAGGAGTTTAGGAAGGAGAAACACACCATGGGGGTACTATGGCGGCACAGGGGAGAGGCAGAGCAAGGGGGTAGAAGAGAGGCCCAGGGTGGTCTGCAACCTAGGCTAGTCCCAGGCCCTGTAAGTCTCCTTACATAAAAACCTTCTTCAAATTAAACTTAATTAGAAGAAGAAACTAAAATAAAAGAACTACAATTTTCACTTTGTGGCTTGTTGTTTAAGGTGCAAAAATGTTCTTCAATCTAACTTATTCAGTCCCAGGTAGGAGTAGTTGTGCTCAGCCCCCTCAGTTCCACCTCTGGAAAAATAGGAAAGCCTTTTCACCTATTAGAGAAAACTTAGCTCTCGGTTGGAGCAAGATAACTTCTATTGGGTAGCAGTGTAAAGGGATACAGTCTTTTCTAAAGTAATACAGAAATGTATATCACAGGTCCAAAAACATCTTATACTCCTTGACCCGGCCATTTATTTCACTTTGTGGTCACTGCCCTCACAAAATAATAAGCTACACAAATAATAAAGATATATGTGAATCAATATTTATCATAACATTATTTACAAAGGTATAAAATTGGGAATTACCCCAATACTGAAAAACAATGTAAATGTAGTCCACACTTAGAAAAGATATTCAAATGATATGTTGCTTTTATAATCAGAAAATAACAAATGATATATAACAACAAAAATTGGATATTGTCCAATGAATATGCTTTCCATTATATACTTGGACTACTTTTCTTAGGAAAAGCTAAAATCTTGGCTTCTTTTAAAAAACTAATATCTTTTCTGCAGGGTTTAGCAAATTCTCATGTCATTGTAGGTAAGCATGAGTGGGTCAAATGATGTCTTTCACACAGAGAAATTGTATCCCACCATCTCGACCATAAGCATTGAAAACCTGGCATAGATAAGGCCCTGATCTGGGCAGCAAATTAAAGACTGGGTTCTAGTTAGTAAAGGGCACAATCTTATTATTCGACATTTCAGGATTTGGGGGCTTATTCTATTTTATCCCCAATGCCTGGCACAGAGCAGATACTAGGTGAATAAATGGATGAATAAATTAATTTCCAAGTGAATAACTCAGATTTTCCTCAAAATGGTTTGGAGATCTTATACACACTAGGCCACGTGGAAGCAGGCCTAAAACTGAGGGCACAGCACAGTATGTGGCCTAGATTACAATGATATATTGTGGAAAGTACTAACATCCAAAGGACAGGTAAACACAAAACAATGAATAAAAAGACAGGCTTGAGTCTTGGAGAAGAGTGGTCGTAGCTTTAAGGTCCAGTTTCAGGTTCTGTTGTCATGTAGAACAACACTTCATCTCCTTTCCATACCCCCCCCCCCCCACCGTGGGCTACAGCAAAGATCAGAGAGGTACTGGAACCTCCCCAAGTCATTCTATCTGTAAGTGGCAGACCCAAAATGTAACTGTCTGATGCTAAAACCCATGCTTTTATTGTATGCTACTTCCTAACACAACCAGAATACAAATTGCCTGAACAACACAATCACAGTCAATTAAGGCCCACTCACATTGTGTAAGAGGAATGGGCACCTGTTTCTAAATTACCTTGCCACTACCTTGGCCTTGCAGCCATTAAGCAAATCATTTGACCTCTCTGCATTTATTTCTTAATACATGAAGTGAAGAGAATCATAAATGATACCTTAGGCCCCTTCCTATTCTAATATAGCTTTCTAATTCTAAGAGGATTAAACCTACAGAGAGAACTCATTTTAAAGTAGTCCCTGCTGACTACATCCTTCAGTATGGGGTCTAAGACAAGGCTCACCTGGTCACATTCTCTACTGGTACTAAGACGAGGCTTCATATGAAATAATTTCTAACACAGATACAATTAGATGACCGCAAGCTATGTTAAACCGCAGTAATTTCTACAAACATTAATTTCCTTGGAACATCCACAATCAGCATAATTGTCAAACCCAGGTTATTTTCAATCCTCAAAGAACGATGTCAAGTATTTACTCCCGTTTCCCTCTACTATCCTTCAAAGTCCTCAACAAATGTGTCCTTTGTGATGATAACCAACGTTTCTGCCTCTTGCTTTATGTATTCTATCCAATGGAAAAGATTTAAGAAGTTTTTCTCCAATGGGCGTCTGAGTGGCTCAGATGGTTAAGCATCTGCCTTTGGCTCAGGTTATGATCCCAGGGTCCTGGGATCGAGTCCCGCACTGGGTTCTCTGCTCAACGGGGAGCCTGTTTCTCCCTCTGCCTCTGCTTCTCTCTCTCTCTCTGATGAATAAATAAAAATCTTAAAAAAAAAAAAAAAAAAAGGAAGAAGAAGCTTTTCTCCAAAAAAGTTAATCCATCAATCAGGAGCACAAAACAAGGGGAAGCCATTTCTTTTTTTTTTTTTTCTTCTAAAGAAACAATTATTGTTGATGAGAAGTTTTTAAATGTACTTAAGAACATTAAATGTAAGGAAAGCAAAGGAAATCTAGAATCCCTGCCAAAATATTAATTTGGTTACCATGCCTGGTTTGTGTGTGTGTGTGTTGTTTTTTTTTTAGAACTTCAGTTTCTAATATAACTAAGTTATCTTTTCTTCTAAAAACGCCAGCCTCCCCAGGATTATTTCCCTTGTCATTCCGTTCGTGCTTAGGTGTTAGCTCTGGGTTGGACATCAAGAGATGGAGAGGTAGGGACATGGCAGATGGACAAGGTCCCAGCCATCTCAGAATTTACAGTTCCTACGAAAGAAAACCCGAAAGGAAACATGACAGGGTAATTGCTGCTAGATGAAGGTAAGTACTCCGACTACGGAATACTCTGGTGAGAGAAACTAAAATCTAAAAGCTGTCTTTGTGAGGACAAGGAGCAGAAAGGGCTCATGGGGCAAACCCGGGCGAGACAGAACCGTGCGCCTGAGAAATTGCAAGCCGTGCCGAAGAGCTCACGCAGGCCGCACAGGGACGCACTGGAGGGGCACAGACGCCGGTTTCTGCATGTCCCGGGGGGCCATGGGATGGAGACTGGCACCTGTCCTGGAGGGGATGGAAACCTCCTGAGGGGATTTCAGCCGGGAGTGACAGGAACAATGTGTTCTGTGGAAAAACCTGCCTTCCTGCAGTGTGGAGAACGGACTGCAGCAGCGAGCCCCGTGGGACAATGGGGCCTGAGGTGGGGCGACAGCAGAGGGGCTGGAGAAAAGTGGCTCGAGGAGAGAGAGATTCTGGAGGCAGAGGTTACTGAAACAGGGAAGGCATTTGAAAGGTCCAGAGTGAAGCCCGTCTCCAGCTTCTACAACCACGGAGTAGCGGTAGGGGTTGGGGGGGATGGGGCAAGACCAGGGTGGATGAAGTACTCAGGGAGGAACCGATTTTGAAGTAAAAGTATAAATAAAGTCTCGGGCGCCTTGTGACTTGGGAGCCTGAGCGACAAACCAGTAAGTGTCTGGACCTAGAACAGAACTCCGAGCTGGAAACGGGGTTGTGCGATTGGTCCTAACACGGGTGGTACCTGAAGATCTCCCAGGGAGCATGCGCGGCGTGGAGGAGCCCGGGGGGAGGAGCCGGCCCGGGGAGAGCGCCGAGACACACCGACGGTGACAGAGCCGGCGGAAATAAAGGAACCTCAAAGGAGGGAGAAGAGCCAGAGTGAGGTAGCAGAAAAAGGAGGAGAGCAGGTAAGAAGAGATTCAAGATTGGTGGCGTTCCAAGATTCCTGAAAGGCCAAGCAGAAGAGACTGAGCAACATCTTCCGGAGAACGCCCCAAATGTGCTGTAGCGTGAAATGCAGGGTAAAGGGACGATACCTACTGTGGAGAGTTGACAAATAGTTTTTGAAAAAAAAAAATATATGGCACTTCCTACATACAAGAAAAGGGCACGGAAAGATGTGACAAACTGTTTTCTTTCTGCAAATTTTCATCTCCTCTGGCTTGAAATTAGGTATGCAAACCCTTGATTTAAAGATGAGTTAGTAAAATATAGTTTTGTGATACTGTCCAAGACCGGCCTCTGGCTGACTAATAGACCCACAAGGAGGGAACGCAAGCACATTATTTTGGCTTGAGGTTCATTCAAGACAAGACACCGTATGCTTCTATCAGTATTTACTGTAACATAATTTACACATACTCTCATAATTCAGGGAGATGTTTTTCCAAAGGTAACATATAAGTACAACAGCAGCAAAATCATGTCTCATGCCTTATGGGAAGCCAAACTGAGCTCTTCCGTCTTCATATAATTCTTTAGTTAAACCCTGTCAGTACAAAAGGCTTCTCGGTAGTATTACAAAGAAAGCACAGCACTCGTGATAAGATTTTTTTTTTTTAATATAATTGTTTTATAAGCTTATACTCTCCTAAGAAATAGTAATAACCAGCAATGTATGAAAATGATACCATAAGGAATATTGAATATTAAAGTCTATTACTATCTATTGCAGCTGTTCCCTTACTTAAATCATTTCATTCACATAAATTCATATGCAGAAGTAAATGAGACCCAGAGATCTTTCAGTGGGATTTCAATTTCGTGTGTTTTACAAGACAACAGGGAATAAAATCAGTGCTTTTATCAAAACATTTTCAGGCTGGTACAGGTTTGCTTTGCTACTGTTTGGGGAATGACAGGGACTCATCTGAATCAGAGGAAAGCATGTCTGGATTCAGGATGCTGGTCTTTAGTACATTTCTTAATGTTTTAAGTGCCCCCAGAACATCCAATGCTTTTCTGTGAAAGAAAATTTTGAGGTGTTTACAAATTTTAATTTATTTTTAAAGAGACTGAGAATATGATATATTCTCCAGTAGAATATAAGTTCTGTGAGAGAAGGAGCCCCATCTGTTTTTAGTCACTGCCATATCCCAAGGATCTAACACATTTCTTGAATATAGTAGGTGCTCAATAAACATCTGCCAAACAAATACTGTCCTGTGAATGTGAAATTATTCAGTTTTAGAAAAAGACCTAATAAAGAACAATGTGCTTGTGAACTCTGGAGAAATTTTCAACTAGCACTATTTATAGGACTTATATTAGAAAGGTCAGTTAACTTTTGGCAACAAATAAAAACTCTATTATTCAAGAAAACCATTCCAGTAGCCTACTCAGAGGGATTAGCATTTATATTTATCTTATGAAAGTGAATTTTTTCCCAAAGATTTTATTTATTTATTTGACACGGAGAGACACAGCGAGAGAGGGAACACAAGCAGGGGGAGTGGGAGAGGGAGAAGCAGGCTTCCCATGGAGCAGGGAGCCCCATGCGGGGCTCATCCCAGGAACCTGGGATCATGACCTGAGCCGAAGGCAGACGTTTAACGACTGAGCCACCCAGGTGCCCGAAAGTGAATTTTTTTATGTCCCACTGTTCCCCATTCTGAGAAGTTAAAGGTTACATTGTTCTCTTGTTGTTGTGGAAATTAATGCATTAATTATTGTTAACAAATTCTCCATTTGAAAAATAAAAACAATAAAGAAGTCAGTAGTCAATAACCATCCCAAAGTTGGTCACCCCCGTACATTGACTACCCAACCTTCATTGCAAAATATGAATGTATTACGGGATGGCATGAGTGATCAACACAACCTGAATAGCTCGCTTTAGATATATAACATAGATTTTTAAATTAAGAAAAACACTTAAACAATTTAGATATAATTTTCAGTTTGTATGATTTCCTAGTCATTTCCTTTTAGTTGATTTAAAAATGTGGGGAGTTGAGCATTGATTAAAAGCAAAAACAAACTCTACATTTTTAACAAGCTTTGCTCTATAAATTCTCAGCTCCCACCTATTTCCTATAGATGGCACATAATTTATAATAGATCTATGAACCTGGTTTTTTTTCAAGTTCCAATATTATCAAATCAATATATAATTCCTTTTAAATTTTCAAATACCCCACTGTGCCAGAAAGTATGTTTCCACTTACTATTTTTTTTTACTATTTGGGGAAACAGATGATCACACCCTTCAGGAAAGGATACTCTTCCCTCTCATTCCTAATTACGCACTGCTGCGTATATTTAGAACCAGCCATGGCATTGTGCAATAGTTCTCTCTCAAAAGCATGCAATCAAGGGGAAAATACTCAACCCTATAGTGAAGGAGAAAGGGGACACAGGGAACAGAAGGGGAGACTTACACTTTTGACAATGTCACAAGAGAAACAGATTCTCCCCTGTCAGGAACTTTGGAACAGGCATCCCATTTTAGATAAACAAATGAACTAGCCCTTGTTTCATTGTTTCTCTCTCCCAGGTACAACACTACTGAACAGAAGAGAAACTGTTGGCTCCCAGCAGGAAGGTATGGCCCTGTTTGCAAGAAGAGAACCCAGCTGAAGGTGCTTTTAAGATTCCCAGTGTTATTTGTTGAGCTGGCCATAGAAATACTAATGCACACTTAGGAATACTTTGATCATAGAAGTAAGAGAACAAATCACAGTCCACAGTCAATACAATAAAAAGAGCAAAGATAATTTTATAATATTTTGAAGGAAAGTCCCAGGACCTGCCATTCTTTATCCATTAGGACAAAAACTTAGTCTTATTACAATTTCAAATGCTAGTGTCTTCTTTTTATTTCCTATACTTTACCTCATTGCACTTGCTTATTCGCCTCGCAACAATGAGCTGGATCATTCCTCGCTTGTTCCCTTCAGTAGACATAGACCTTCTGAGGGTTTCCATGGCATCTTGGTTTGTCTTGCCCAACAGGGATTCTCCATTCACTGCTATCAGTTGATCATTCACCCGAAGCCTTCCATCCTGGGAAGAAAACAGGTAGAAGTAAGTGCTATTAAATAGTCTGTTATAAAAGAAGTTGCTCTCTCTTTAGTTAAAAAAAAATAAAAAATAAAAACAAGGGGAGAGAAAGGGGGCTTTAATCCTAATGGACTGTGTCCAATTGAACAGGAGCACAATAATGTCTAAGCAGCCACTGCAGCCTGTGTCTGTTTCAATCATTTATACATTTGTAAATCAAGTCATTATCATAATCTGTTTACCAAAACAGCATACTAATTCAAAGGACACAAAGTGATTACTTTCTTGCTTCCAGAGACACCCATAGAGGTTATTTACAACCCAAGACAAGAAAAAGCTCAAGGCTGTTACACAATTGCAGAGAAGTGCCCCCTTGACGAACAGGGAGGAAACTTGCTCTCCACTGGCAAGCAGGCAAAGTGACCCACAGGCAGGGGACAAGGGAAAGATGAGCCTTCCTGTAGGGCAGCTCTGTGCCCGGAACCTAAGCTAAGTCTTTGCATGGATTATCTTCTTTGAACTACAAGGACTATGGCTTGTAAATTCTGTGAGACAAAAAAATGGGGACTTGAAGCTATGGATTCCATCCTAAAATGAGAGATCACGGAGATTTCTATTCGCTTGATCACAAATGGGGTATTATGAAGAAAACAAAAGGCGTTACAGGGTGAGCGTGACAGGGTATCAGAACATGCCACTCCAAAACATGCCATTCTGGCACAAGGACTCTTTTGAGCTGAAGGCAACTGAGAACTGGCAGATGCCGGAGGAGCTCTCTGTTCTCTGCCTTGCTGGCTGAACACAGAGCTCCTCTTATGAAGATGCCCCTCACCTGTCCTTAACCAGGAAGAGAAGGACATCACCAGAGACAGCGATGGCTCTGAGATTAGCCAGGCGACAAAACAGACCATGCACAAGAAACCTTATCTACCACGAGTTTCTGCCATCTATTTACCATCCCACAATTGACCTCTCTGAGAAGCACAAATGTCATTTTTTGTCTAATTACTGTTCCATAATTTACTGCCTTTTGCTAAAATGGTATCTAAGCTTCTGAGTTTTCTTTAGATTTTCTTTCTTTTCTGTAAAGCCCCTGTACATGGAAAAATTTAAATATTAACATCAATAAAATCTGTAAACATGTTCTGTTCATGTGTCTTTTGCCAGTTTAATTCATAGGCCATAAGAGGGTGGAGGAAAGGAGCCCCCCCCCCCCACACACACTGTGTATATGTTCCCAAGACAGGAATAGAGTTGTAATGATATATTTTTGTTAATGGGCATAAGCCGAGTAAGGGTAACATTTGCTTACTTTAGATGCCGCTCCTCCATTAATAATGGACTTGACGAAGATTCCCAAATCCGCATGGTTCTCTTTTGACCGGTTACCTTTGACGCTGACACCAAGACCAGCTGATCCTGAATCGTTAAGTGGAACTTCAAATGTCAGAAATTCCCTGGTGCCATCAGGTGTGAGAACAATATCCTCATCTTCTGCTTTCTAATAGGAAACAAAATTGCATGGCACGTTATATTCCAATGTTCCCTTCTCACAGCTATTTTTAAAGACTGCTAATGAGCAGTCTTTAATCCTAACAGGCACAGTATTTCCACCAACGTTCTGCGACAAGATCCATAACAGTGCATCTGCACCCCCTCCAGATGATTCCTGGAACCAGCTGTTAATATTTTTATGTGGCACTTGTTTCAATATTGAAACAAACTCAAAGCAGATTCTGAGAAATGTAGGGAAAAATACAGCTGAAAACTGAAGACATGTGACTCCTAGAGTTTGGGACTTTTTTGTTGTTGTTCTGTTCATATATCCTAAACCACAGGAGAAAAACAGTCACAGCAGGAATCAAAATAAATAAATATAACTCATTTGTCCTTTTATTCATTAGGAATTTTTGATGTCATTAGGAGTTTAATGCTCACTAATGGTATATCATTTTCTTCACAATAATAAGTTCTGATGATACAAAGCCAGCAGAAACAGGTATTCATTTTCAGAGAGCCACTAGAGAGCTTTATCCTTCAGCATCCATGAGACAGAAACAACATCAGAGGACACCTTTCCTCAACACTGTAGTATGCCTCAGACAGCTGGGGGATATTCTCCAAGCAATACAGCTTCATTAATTAGTGGTGTCGGTAAGCTTTGATTTCATAACTGTAGTCATCACTGCATAAGAAGACTGTTTCAGAACAGAACATATTTAAGACACACCAAATCCTGTCCAGCCCCCTTAAAATTTGAGGAAAAACAGGAAGCTGAAAGTACAGCCTGATGAACCAGTCAGAGGATGTGTTCTGCCACTAAAACACTGGGCACCGGGGACGAGGCCGCCTGCCCACCTCCGGACTTCTCTTCAGCAGTCCCACCCACGACCAGGACTGGAACCACTCACATCTCTACCCTGGTCATCTCCAAATAGGTAAGGACTCAAGGTATTTCCAACCACATAACAGCTAGGTGACACAAACTCTTCAAATCACAGCTAAAGGCCTCGTCTAGTCCTACCACACGTTCCCGCTCCTCTTTCTCCAATTTTGGAATATTTCTCCAGCATCCACCTAGTCACTCAAGCTGGAATTATCAAATTATAATTGAAAGATGGCTAAATATCTAATGGTACATAATTAGGCTAGACTATAATACATCCTTTAAAGTGTGCTTTTAAAGAATGTTCAATTGCACACGTGGAAGGAGGCTATCACAGAGCAATGTGGGTAGACTTCAATTTTCTTCTGTGTCCCAACAAATGTTTAAATTTTTCTAGTAACAATAAAAATTAATATAATAATGATGAAATAATTTTTTTTTTACAAATTTGGGGATTTAACATCGCAACCAGATGAAATAATTTTTAGAAGCATAGCATTTATCAATAAAAGATAATTTTTTACTGCAAAAGATATGTTTTTTTAAATCCCCAAATCCATAATAATGTGATTCATAAAGTAAGGTTTCTAATTTACTAATATCCACTATTAACATTTTATGGTAGGATGTTCTTTGTGCCATCTTTGCAAAACACAACCTCATAGTTATCGGGACAAGGTATGTTTCAAAAAAATAAAATCACTAATATGTTAAAAACAGGAAAACTATATAATAAAGAATGCAAAATAAGAACAACTTGAAAAGATACAGGGCAATAGCTATGTTACTATACAAAGCAAACACATTTCAGTGTCAAAGTCAAAATCAAGCCTAAGCCTGCTCATTATAAAAATGTTTATACTGAAAATATTCCCAGAGAATAATTATAGCTCAAATAAAACCAATGTATTGGAGAGAAAGAAATATCAAATACTCATATCAAAATATTGATACAGCACATATTTACTATGCTAATACTAATATACATTTTATATTCTATAAACTTTTATTCATATGGTTCAGAAGGACTAAGTAATGACTTTGTGTGAATACAGCTATCTCAATATAAAATCTGTTATAAAAACATAATGTGTAAGTAAATTGTGATGTCTGAAACACAAAACAGTATCAAAACACACCATAGTGTCCTTCAGAGTTATTTCAAATTCAGAAGTAATTAAAGGTAAAACATACTTTGTGAATCAGAATCAGTATTTATATTCCTGGAAAAGTTGCATTTAAAAAGGTATAAAAAGCAAAGATAGTCCTCAGCTGGGCACATGTAGGTCTGATCACTGAGTACATTTGTTTGCCTCAAGTCTAGAAGGTTCTTAATTGTCACTTACTGATTTAGGTCTTCAGTTTGGCTTTTTAATGTTTACTGATTTTCACATTTCCATAATGTTTTACTAAGGCTTAAAATTCTCATTTATTTTTCTACTTGAAAAATCAAGATAAGGAGCTGACTGAATATATGAAGAAAAATTTTAATCAAGTTGAAATCATTTCCTGACATGCCCTACTCTGAACCTGTCTTAAAGGAGACTATTTTCTCCACAGGAAAGTTTCATTTATTATGAAAACTACAGGATGGGAATGATATTCTTTTTCAGCTTTCTTATCAAGTCTTAAGTCATTATTATCATTAAAAACATTTAAGTGAGAGATTGTACTTTCCTTTGATATTTCATTATTAATCCATTTGGCTCTTGACATAAGACTGAAATTAATGCCAGCTTTTAGAACTTAATTTTCTGGCAGCAAAATGTTTTAAAAAATTTGCTCTTCAAAAACCATTTTAAATGCCACATTATAGAGAACTTTTTACGGAGTCTTCTAGTATAGATCTCTTCATTCTGATACAAAGGAGAAACTAATTTTCTATCACCTTGACGGGTTCCATCCAGATTGTGTAATTTACAACTGTCTGAGTCAAATTCTTTCTACAAAAATACAACAAATGTATTTCCTTTGCCTCTCAGTCATTTGCACATGACCATGTCATTCAAGCTCATCATGTCCCTCATGCACACACGTTTGAACACTCCAAGTGATTTTTTGCATTAATGCAACCTATCATTTTTTACTTTGCCCACTACTCCACTGGCATTTTTGTTAAGCACACTAGAAGCAGGAAGCCTGCAGAATGGGCAGTATGAAAGCTATCTGCTTTCCCACTATCCTCAGAATAGCAGAAAAGATGCACACTTCTATCTGCAGTGAGACAGAACAATAACCACAAGCGTGCAACACGAAGGCCCAGCCAGGCGTCCTTTTTCCCCGGAGAGCAGTCCAACAGCTGTGGGAAACAGTGGGCCCACAGGTCCTTCTGAGCCTGCTTAATCTGAAAAATGGGTAGATCCAAATGAGAGAGGGAAAAAAAGTTGATTATCTTAAATAGAAAAAAAAAAAATATGAGCAGAGTCATCTCTGAGCCTCAATATATCAAGATTTTAATAAGAGTGCACAAGATATTGTGAAAAGAAGTGGTATGTATCCATGTCATAGGAGGCCCTAAAATCACAGATCTGAGTCCAATAGCTGATTTCAGGCTCTGCAAAGAAATAAATGATTCAACCAACATTCTGCCATTTGTGAAATAAAAGGAAATATAAATATATAAAATCTCCCTTCAATGCCTGCTATTATATTGGTCTTTCACCCCAGTTCCTGACACAGAGCTCCTAAAACCCTTGTAATTTCCTAATAAGAGTGCTGGACACAGAGCTCCTAAATCCCTTGGGATTTTCTGGATGTTAGGAGCATCTTTTGTTCTAATGAGGTGACATTTGGTGGATTCCTCGGTGGCTCCTGGGTGGGCTCTGGTCACCAGAAAGAGCAAGCCATGATTAGAAGTTAAGAACTTTAGCCCAAACCCATTCTCCAAGAAGGTGAGAACGGCTGAAAACAGTTAATAATTGATCATGCCTTTACGATGAAGCCTCCATAAAAATTGCAAAAGTATGGGGTTCAGAGAGCTTCCGGGTTAATAAACATAGCAATTTACCAGAATGGGGGCACACCCCAACTCCAAAGGGACAGTAGCTCCTGAGCTTGGGAACTTGTAGATTTTTGCCCTAAATATCTCTTCATCTAGTGGTCTGTCTGTGCCCTTTAAAATGTCCTTTGTAGGGGCGCCTGGGTGGCTCAGTCAGTTAAGTGTCTGCCTTTGGCTCAGGTCATGATAAGAGGGTCCTGGGATTGAACCCTGTATTGGGCTCCCTGCTCAGTGGGGAGTCTGCTTCTCCCTCTCCCTCTCCCCTGCTCATGTACTCTTCTCTCTCTCTCTGTCACTCACTCTCTCTCACATAAATAAATAAATCTTTAAAAAAATAAAATACCTTTGTAAGAAATTGGCGACAGTAAGTAAACTGTGATCCTGGGCTCTGTGAGTTGCTCCAACAGATTATCAAACCCAAGGAGACGGTCATAGGAACCTCTGATTTGTGGCCAAGTTAGACAGAAGTTGTGGGTAGCCTGGGGATCCACTACTTTCTTATGGCCTCTGAGTGGGGGGCAGTCTTGTGGGACTGAGCGCATAACTTGTGGGGTCTACACTAACTCCAGACCGTATAAAGAAGTACATGGTCTGGAAGACTCACACATTGGTATCAGAAGTGTTGTGAGTGTGAGCAGAGAAATAACAGCAAAGTTTTTTGCTGCTCACTGCTCCACTATAATTTATTGACTTCTCTCTCACTCCCTTTTCCACTGAGTTAATTTCATTACTGCACAAACATGATAAATTAATAACAAAAAGACGAACACTCCCACAACAAATAAGAGATATGAATGAGCAATTCATTAAAGAAAGATGAGTGGACAAAAAAAAATAGGTAAAATAATCTACTTGCAACAAAAGACATGCAATCAACAAAAGTTATCAAACTACTGAAGAAAATTGCTTTAAGTAATGAAATCCAAGAATGCAGAAAGGATGGTGAAATGGGCACTTTCCTGCACTGCTGCTGAAATATAAAAAGATACAACACTTATAGAAGTCAATTTGACAATGCTTATCAAAAGCCTCTACATTTTTAACCCAAAAAATAGTACTTTAGTAATATGTCCTAAAAAACTGTGATCAAGAACAAAGATTTAACTGTCAAGATGTT